CTGATTGGGCTCTCACTCATCTGTATTTGCATATTAATCAATCTCACCTTCCCAGGTAATCCCTAAAGTGGCCCCTGATTGGGCTCTCACTCACCTGTATTTGCATATTAATCAATCTCGCCCTCCTAGGTAATCCCTAAAGTGGCCCCTGATTGGGCTCTCACTCACCTGTATTTGCATATTAAGCAATCTCGCTCTCCTAGGTAATCCCTAAAGGGGCCCCTGATTGGGCTCTCGCGTGCCCGCATTTGCATATCAATCAATCTGCATCTCGCCTTCCCAGGTAATCCACAGAAATATAAGGTACTGCACTTATGGCGGAAAAATGAAATGCATAGATATAAGATGGGGGACACCTGGTTTAACAAATCTAGATGTGAAAGGGATCTAGGAGTCCTAGTAGACCACAAGTTAAACATGAGTCAACAGTGTGATGCAGCAGCTAAAAAGGCCAGTACGATTTTAGGCTGCATCAATAGAAGTATAGTGTCTAGATCAAGGGAAGTAATAGTATTCTGCTTTGGTCAGGTCTCACCCGGAATACTGTGTCCAGTTCTGGGCACCACAATTCAAAAAGGATGTTGAGAAACTGGAGCATGTCCAGAGGAGGGTGACCAAAATGGTGAAGGGTCTGGAAACCTTAGGAAACTGGGTATGTTTAGCCTGGAGAAGAGAAGGTTAAGAGGGGATCTGATAGCCGTGTTTAAATATTTGAAGGGATGTCATATTGAGGAGGGAACAAGCTTGTTTTCTGCTGCTCCAGAGACTAGGACCTGGAACAATGGATGTATGGATGCAGGCAAAGAGATTCCACCTAAATATTAGGAGGAACTTCCTGACAGTGAGAGCTGTTTGAGAGTGGAATACACTTCCTCGGAGTGTGATGGAGTCTCCTTCCTTGGAGGTCTTTAAGCAGAGGCTGGATGGCCATCTGTCGGGGATGCTTTGATTATGATTTCCTGCATGGCAGGGGGTTTGGACTGGATGGCCCTTGTGGTCTCTTTCAACTCTATGATTCTATGATTCTAATCCCAAAAGGGCCCCTGATTGGTTCTCGCCCACCCACATTTGCATATCGGTTTGCATCCCATTCACTCCGCCAGAGAGCTACAGCCCAGGTCTACAGCAGCCCTTCTGCAGCAATAATCCAGTTTGACACCGCTTTAGCTCCATGCTAAGGGATTCTGGGAATGGGCAACCTGGGGTGTATCCTCCCTGCAGAAATAATCCGTTTTGACACCCCTTTCACTACCAAAATATTCTTTCCATCCCCTGCATGTAGCTAACAGTTTTTGAGAAAAGTAGAACATCATTAGTCCAAAACACACTGCAGAAATAATCCAGTTTGAGACCAATTTAGCTGCCCTGGCTCAGTGCTAGGGAAGCCTGGGAATTATACTTTATTGTGGCATCAGAGCTCTCTGACAGAGGTCCAATCCACACTGCAGAAATAATCCAGTTCTAGACTGCTTTAACTGCCTTGGCTCAATGCTAGGCTATTCTGGGAATTATAGTTTTGTGAGACATTTAACCTTCTCTGTCCGAGAGCTCTGGTACCACAACAAATTACAGTTCCCAGGATTCCCTAGGACTGGGCCAGGGCAGTTCAAGCGGTCTCAGACTGGATTCTTTCTGCCGTGTGCTTTTGGACCCTAGTGAACTAAGCACTTTCTAAGTGCTTCAGCTGGACACTCATTTTACCAGCCTAGGAAAGGATGGAAGGCTGAGTCAACCTGGAGCCCTATGGGATCCGGCTCACAACGATGTTTCTTTAGGACTCAGACATTTTGTGAGACATCTCAGGCCCCTTTCTGGGAGAAAGGCAGCAAAATAAATAAATAAATAAATAAATACAGTGGGACCTTGGGATCCTCTAGAGTTTGGTTCACATACAGACCCCCATGAATACCAAAATCTGTCAATACTCAAGTCCCATTAGACACAATGGCAAAGTAAAACAGCATCCCTTATATAAAATGGCAAAATCCAGGCTGGCTTTTTGAGATCTATATATCTTAATAATATTTTCAAGCCATGGATGGTTGATTCCATGGATACAGACTCTGTGGATATGGAGGACCGACTGTAATAAAGAAATTCAGAAGAAGGAATGGATCTAGGAGGAAGGAACAATCTATAATATGGGGTTGACACCGTACTACCAGTGGAAAATGTTACAGACTTGGAATAATTACTGAGGAAAGTCAAGGAAGAAAGTACAAATGCAAGTTTAATGCCAAACAGACCCTCATAACTTGTGGGGGATCCATTCCAGACACACACACACCCATGAGTTACAAGGGTCGCATATACTCAAGCCTTTTTGGCTTGAATGGAGTGCACCCCCCCCGCACACGCCCCATTCATGCTAATGGCGGTCACCCCCTCTGCGGATTTCAAGTCCGCGGACTTGGAGGGGCAACTCTAGTTAAAGAGTTCCCCTACTTTCTATCAAACATTGTTCAGAATGGAGACTGCAGTCAAGGAATAAGAAGACAACAAGAAATGGGAAGGGCAGCCATGAAAGAACTAGACAAAATGCTGAAAAGTAAAGATACACAACTGAACACTAAAGTCAGAATCATTATCATGTATTGTTATTATTATTGTATTGGTTTGTTTTAACATGTAAGCCACTTTGATTGCTATTATAGTAGAAAACTGGGACAAAAATAAAATAATTTATTATTATTATTATTATTATTATTATTATTAT